GGCAGCATGGGCAGGCGAACACCGGCAGGTCCTTCTGCTGCCCCCTCCGGGCGTTCTGCCTCTTCACCGCCGCCACACTCTCCTCGTAGGCCCTCTTCGCCCCGCCGAAGCACCGCACACAGTAGGGGATGTGTTTGCATGGCATCAGCTTGATGGATGCCGCGCCATGCTCGCCATAGCAGCCCACACACGTGCCTTTTACAGCGCTGTCAGTGGCGGGCGGAGGGGGCGGGGGTGACGGGGCAGCGGGGGAGGGGGGGGTGCGATGTCAACGCTGTGCTGAGAGACACACTGGTGCATACATACGACACACAGAGGAGCTTGTCGACGGTACCATGGATGGCGTGTGTGTGGGGGGCATTTGATGCGTACCCTTCAGCTGATGGTACGTACGGGTTGGGGTGGTGAGGCAGCAGCTGCTGCTGCACTGCTGGATGGCTTGGTGATACAACGCCAACTGACAAAGCACAGCAGGGGGTGTCTCCACCACTGTCTGGCTCCACTCCCACAACGACGGGTTTTCTCACCTTGTACTAGAAGTGACATCCGATGGCTGGCCCGCCGATGGTTGGTTTGCCGATGACGCTTTGGTGCTGGACGGCTTCCCACCCCACCCACCACGAGGTGTCAAACAACCCAGTCCTGCAACCAACCAATACAAATGTGCACACCCACCAATCCATCCCATCCATCCATCCCATTAGTAGCAGGACCTTTCTACCCTCGAAATACCGATGGGCTCGACGACGGGCGGCAGGTCGACGCTTTTCACACGGCCGGCCGCTGGCGCACTTGGCCGAGCGGGAGCTGAAATGGAAGTGGCACACGTAGACGACGTAGAAGGGCTGGCCGACACCGTCATGCGGGGGCTGCGCTGAGCTGTCGGGGGATGGGAACAGGCGCTCTTCTGCTTGTCCTTCCTGCCTTTGGCAGCCCTCCCCTGCTGCAGCACGACAGAGCGACGCGCGAATGTGGATGTGATGAGCATCTGATCGATATCCTCGTGCTCTTCCTCGCTCTCTGGCTCATCGGCCACCCCTTGTCCGCTGCCGGCCTTGGTTGCAGTCGACACAGATGAGGCTTTTCCCACCCTGTGGTGCTGTTTCGGCTTGCTCTTTGGCCTCATCGCTGCCTTGGCTTCCTCCTCCCGTATCAAGATTTCTGCCCGCCTTCTCGCCTCCAAGCCCGTCAAGGGACGCATCAGCCATCCTGTCAGCTCCTTTGCCGCACTGCCAGCCGCAGAATATACATTTCTAGAAATGTCCCAGGCCGCCCTCATCACCTTCGTAGCCGCAATGCAGAGCCCCCCGAGGAAGAAGCCGGAGGGGATGTTCATGATGAAACGGACGAGGAAGAGCCAGCAGGATTCATCCCTCTCCGCCGCCCTCATTCGCTCTTCATCTATGTCCCACTTCCAGACAGCGCCGGCAAGTGTGCACTCAATAAATGAATGGTCGCGTGAATGGGTGCCAGCGCGCCATCAATTTCGCATCTGGACCTTGTCACGGCAGTATCAGACGAGTTCTGTCGCTTGGAAAGCAACCATTACATCGCGAGCCACGATCGTTTTCGATTTGTGGGGGCGTCTCAAAATCTGGACGATCAAAATCGAAAACATAAGAGCCTTCCCAGCAGCAGAAGCTCGGATGGAGAGAGGGAGTCCTGGGCGTGGGACGCCCCAGAATCAGTGCATAGGAGGCTCTCGGCTTGGAGGGGGAGGAGGTCACCTCGTTCCAGGTGAGTGAGGGCAAAAGACGTGAATCTCGTGCCATTTGCAGTGTGGATGTCGCACCTGTCAGACGTGTCGCCGCCAGAGACGCCGCAACCGCCACAGGGAGGAGACCTCGGCTATGTGGTCCCGACAGAGGGTGAGATCCACGTGAGCAGGTCGTTCTGCATGCATGCATCCCTCTTCCATTGATTGACGCCCATGCAGGTCAGCTGGGGGCGTTGCAGCGTCACAAGATGTTCTTCGCCGCCAACCCCCACCTCAAGGACCACCACGCCGAGAATGGCCGCCTCACCATCCCTCTGGACGGAGAGGACGACCTCGCCCTCCAGTCCGACCGGCAGGCGCCCGTTGAAGACTACGTCGACATGGATGGGGAGAGGGTGGTCTTGTACGACAATTCTTGTCCGTACAAGGCCATCAACAACCTGCTCGGGTCGACGGGAGGGGACAGGCTGCCCAACCACCTCTTTCATGACGCGCCCGGGCAGCAGAAGGAGATTGGCGAATGCGGCGAGTACATCAACCTCGCCACCGACTACCACGCCATACGTCTGGCTCAGGTGCTAAGAGGGAGGGAGGGATGTGTGGCTTTCTCGGGATTCATTCATTGGGTCCCTCCCTGTGTCGTGTATTTTGGTGCAGGTGAAGGGGGATACTATGGAGGAGCGCGTAGTCCTGCTGGGCAGCATGTCGGCCGGGGAGGTGTGTGGGGTGCTGGCGACCACAGAAGTCGCCCTCATGGGCAACGGCCGCCCCACCGAGACGCACATCCAGGCCATCCGACTGCTCGGCGACGGCCTGTGGGCGGACATGGAGACCATCACCGAGGTGGCCCCCCCCCAGGCCGTCATGTCGAACCAGGACGTGGTCGAGCTGCTGATGCGCGACCAGCCCCACCGGGAGGCCGTCCAGCAGCGCACCCCATACGCGTACATGTACCACGATGTGCTCGTAGTCTTCCGGTCTGACGTGGCGCGGGACACGGCGGCCAACCCGGTGCCTGCACCCAACCCCATCGCCATGATCGCTGACGACGAACACGGCCATCAGGGGCAGCAGGGGGCGCAGGCTGCGGCGGCGTGGGCCGTATTGCTGGTGTTGCTCATGGCCATCCAGGCAGCGGGTGGTCAGGGCGACGGCGGTGGTGCTGGTGCTGGTGCTGGTGCTGGTGCTGGGGGAAAGGGAGGCGGGAAGAGGAAGAGGGAAAACGACGAGGGCGGCGCACACGATGGCGAGGCTGATGACGACGAGCCGCTGGCGCAGCGCCGCAGGCGTCTCAAGCGCCGCGTGGCTCGCCCACAGCCGCACGACGGGTGAGTGAATCCATCTATCCATCCATCCATGCATGCGGCAATGGATCCATTCATGCGTTCCTTCACGCACACATCGGCTGTGTGATGTTTGTGTCTGTTTTCTTCGTGTAGGGTGCCCGACGTTGAGATGGCTGACGCACCGTAGCAGCAGCCCCCCTACTGGGAGCGACCCTTGGCCTATCGCCAGGTCCAAGGGCTCTGGGCCGGCAGACTCCGGGCGCGCCGATGAGTGAGTGAGGGTGTGAATGTGGGACTGCCGGTGTTATGTGGGTGGTCTGGGGCTGAGATGCTGCATTTGATGCCGCGGTGTCTCTCAATATGCGTGTGTGTCTCGTATGTATGCACGTGTGTCCCGTATGTATGTGTGTATGTAGCCATCCCGCCCGCCCCATCCCCCCCCACCCCAGCCAATCAGACCATGTGAATGGCGGCATTTCTGGTGGCCATTCTAGCCAACTCCATCTTACATACTAGCGATCCCCACGCACACTCTGAGACACAGTCAGACAGAGAGAGAGAGAGAGAGACAAGGGCTGATCGGTCAGTCGGACGGACGGACGGACAGATGGACGGATGGATGGATGGATGGTTGGATAGATGGGTGGGTGCCACGTGGGTGTCGCGTCGGGGCTCATGTTTTCTTTTGTCCGCTGGTTGTCGGTCGACTCACGGATGGATGTCTTACTTTTTTGTTATCATTGGGGTGTTATCTTTGCCGCCAACAATGGATTACATATGTATCATGGTGCTGTGTTTCTTTTGACCCGTCCTCTTTCCTTCCGGTGTGTGCCTGTGTGTGCAGTGGTGGCCGTATTCTTTGTGAGGGATTGGGGGAGTGAGGTGTGGGTGTGTGTGCACAGGCAGGAAACGAACGGGCATGAGAGAGATGCATACTGCAGACAGACATTGGCGTGCACGTGCCGTGATGGATGGATGGATGCAGAATGCATGCAGGAAGGAAGCAAGGTGACTGACACAAACCCCCGATCTCTCACCCACCCTCTCTACCCATGTACCACTTGGCCGGCCGCTGCACTCACTGCCCTCACACCTCTCAGTCCCTCTCCTTTGCTTTCGTCCGGTTGGTCGCCTGTTGGTTGGGGTTTCGTTTTGCGTTTTTGTCGTCCGTCCATCGATTCCTTTTTCGGCGTGTGTGTGTTGGAAGAACTATGGGGTGGTGTGGGATGTGTGAGTGTGCGGAACGGATGGATGGCTCTCGTGTGTACCCCTCTTCTTTTACTTTGTCTGTCGACTCCGGGTGTGGTCTTTTCTTCGCTGCCGTGTAACTTCGTTGGACCCGTCTTGCTTTTGCGGCGTGTTTGTATGTGTGTGTCTGTCTGTGTGTGTGTGTCGTTCGTCTTTTCTTCTTTTGGCCGCCCGCCCGCCCGCCCGACCGACCGACCGACCGACCAGGCAGCTCAGCCGTCTCTCTGCCTGCCTCTCCTCTCGTATGTTGTGTGTGCCTGACTGGGGGTCGGTGTGGTGTAACGGTGCCCCATGTGTGCGTGTTTGTTTGTGTGGGTGGCGTGCGAAGCACCCACCTACACCACAAACACAGAAAGATGATAGAATTAAGGGGGCGGTGTGGTGTGGTGTGGTGTGTCTGGCTGTCTGCAATGATGCATGGTGAGACGCAGTGGGCGGGTGGATGGGTGGGTGAGTAGATGTGACACACATGGCTCGGCGTGATGCATCCATGGACTGAGGACGGATACACACAAGTGCATCTGTGAACGGGATACTTACAATATGGCAGTCCACACACAGACGCGAACCGACACACATAGTGATACACACGCAGCCTTTCCCTCAACCGCTCAGTTTCGTCCACGTGAGCATCCATCCGTCCATCCATCCATCCATCAACACAACGTGTGTGGCTGGCTGGCTGCCACTTGGCCGATGTTTCCTGCGATGGCCGACATCGGCCAAGTGGCATCTGGTGTGGGTGAGACAATGTGACGGATGTGACTGGAACAAAAAAGGACAAGAACAAAGCAAGGACAAGAACAAAGAAATGGGTAAACCAAGGACGAGAACAAAGAATTCCCGCTGGAAGATGAAAGGCATCGAGAAGATCGACAGAAACAGGCTGCACAGCGCCAGGATCAAGAGGCCAGGAGCTTCCCGCGTCCACTGCAGCGGCCAGGGGGCTTTGATCGCCAGCCTGCCTCCAACGGTATCTGTATCTCATGTCTGTATGTCTGTATGTGTGTGCCTGGCTGACGAAGTGCATTTGTGGGTGTGGTGTGGCGTGCACTCTTTATCCATCTATGTGTTGATCGATATGGCTCAAGATGATCGACATTGGACACCTTCTTGACAGGGAGGTCTGTCTTCACTGGTGAATACGTCACATTTGTCGAAGGACTCAGTCACTCAATCACGCGCATGCCATGCCGCCGTGTGCAGGCCAGCTCCTCTACCTATTCATGGAGTGTGTAGTCGTCCCGCACCCACCGCAGTACCTCCTCCCTCGTGCAGGCAAACACTATGCCACTGCAGTCGACACAGCCAATCACACCCAAACGAACATACGAGACGTGTGAAGCGATCACATGTGATCTTTGAGTTGCCCCTCTTCGCCCCTTGCCCTGCCTGTGGCAGCATGGGCAGGCGAACACCGGCAGGTCCTTCTGCGGCTCCCCCTGCTCCCTCCGGGCGTTCTGTCTCTTCACCCCCGCGACACTCTGCTCGTGAGCCCTCTTCATGTCGCCGAAGCACCGCACGCAGTAGGGGATGTGTTTGCATGGCATGAGCTTGATGGATGCCGCGCCATGCTCGCCATAGCAGCCCACACACGTGCCTTTTACAGCGCTGTCAGTGGCGGGGAGAGGGGAAGATAGAGGGGGCGATGGGGTAGCGGGGGAGAAGAGCTGCGATGTCGACGCTATGCTGAAACGGACAACACGGGCGCGGCACACAGAGGGGCTCATCGACAATTCCATGTGTATGTGCGTGTGGCATATATGATGCGCACCCTTCAGCTGATGGTGGTACGGGAGAGGGCGGTGCAGCGGCTGCACTGCTGGATGGCTTGGTGATACAACGCCGACTGGCACAACGCAACACATCACGTCACATCACATCACAGACAGGAGGAGAGAAGAGACACCACCGCTTTCTCTGACCTCTTGTTAGAGGTGGCATCCGATGATTGACTCCTTCGTTGACTCCCCGATGCACCCTTCGTGCTGGACGGCTTCTCATCCACCGATGCGTTAAGCAACCCAGTCCTGCAACAAACAGACAGAATCATGGACACTCACCCACCCACCCATCCCATTAGCAGCAGACCCTTCCCACCTTGGAACACCGATAGGCTCGACGAGGGGCGGCAGGCCGCCGCCTTTCACATGGCCAGGTGTCCGATGAGCGGGGGCTAACACACAAGAGTCATAGCTAGACGACACAGGAGAGGCTGCCGACAGCGTCACAAGTGGAGGTCCCCAGGGGTGGCCCTGAGCTTGGGGGTTCCTCTGAGCTGTCGGGGGATGGGAACAGGCGCTCGTCTGCTTGTCCTTCCTGCCTTTGGCAGCCCTCCCCTGCTGCAGAGCGACAGAGCGACGCCCGAATGTGGATGTGATGAGCATCTGATCGATATCCTCGTGCTCGTGCTCGCTCTCTGGCTCATCGGCCACCCCTTGTCCGCTGCTGGTCTTGGTTGCAGTCGACACGGATGAGGCTTTCCCCACTCTTTGATGCTGTTTCGGCTTGCTCTTTGGCCTCATCGCTGACTTGGCTTCCTCCTCCTCCCGTATCAAGATTTCTGCCCGCCTTCTCGCCACCAAGCCCTCTGCCGCCCTCATTACCTTCGTCATCACCTTCGTAGCCGCAATGCAGAGTCCCACGAGCAAGAGCCAGCAGTATTCATCCAGCCCCAGCACCAAGAGGCCGGGACCTTCCCACGTCCACTGTGGCCACGAGGGGAGACGATCGGGACGAAGATGAATGACGGCCACCACGAGGATGCCGAGCGCCATGGCTGCCAGCAGCCACGAGGCGGTTTTCATCGCGATGAGACCAAGCGCCTGAGGACAGCAAATGACCATGTGTGCGGCAAGAAAGCAGGTGCATTCGGCATACCTCAGTCGGGATATTCACTAGTTGGCAGATCTGACAAGGTGAGGCCCTGGATGGCGGTTGACGAAGCAGCAATTTACAAACCTCTCCGTTTCCCGGCACAGATCTCCGCTTCGTATTCGTCTTGCTCAAACGCCAGGAGCCTTGCTGACCTTGCACTCTCCTGTGTGGATGATGGCGGAGAGGCCTGGACCAACGAAGCGGCTGTTCCTGACTGTTGGCACGACAAGCTTTGACCGACTGGTTGATGCAGTTGACCAGATCACCTTCCTTGACAAGCTGGCGGCGCTCGGATTCTCGAGATTCATCATGCAGATCGGAAAGTGGGATGGACTGCGACAAGGGAATGAGTGCAGCAAGCGTGTGAATGATGTGGCTTGGTGTGCGTTTGTGTGTCAATCAGGGGTGAGCGTGAGCCTCGTGTAGCATCTCATGCTGGTGTCAGTGTGGAGTGGTTTCGGTTCAAGCCGACGCTGGATGACGAGATCAGGGCGGCCGACCTGATCATCAGCCATGCAGGAGCAGGCAGCATACTCGAGGCACTCAGGGCACAGGTATCGATGCACGCACACACGCAGGACGGAACGAACAGGTGTGTCCGCTCTCATCTGTGTGCGCCTTTTGGTCTGACGTGTGTGTCAGAAGCGTCTGCTTGTGGTGATCAATGATGCGTTGATGGACAACCACCAGACGGAGGTGGCTGAGGCTATGCACGACGACAACTACCTCACCACCGCCACATCGCCAGCACCAGACGTGCTCCTCACAAAGGCAAGCTCACCTCTCACACACAGGCAGCAATCTGCTTTGCACAATTCACCAGGCCTGGCCACTCTCCATCTCTCTCGCTGTCTGTGTGTGCGTGTTATGGATAGGTAGAGGAGGCTCTTGTCCGGCCGCTTGACCCCTACCCCCCTTGCGACCGCAGCAAGTTCTACGAAGCCATACAAAGGCACACGGGCGTACCGCCGGTCGGCTCTGACGACACGCAAGACTGACTCTGCAGCAGGCCTTTCTGTGGTGTGCCCATCGACTGCGGGCTGTCAACGGGCGCACGCAAGAGGCATGGCGGCAGACACTCGTCAGGAGCGACTCGTGAGTCGTGGTCAATTGATTGGTGTGTCTATCGCTGGTCGCCTCCATGGCTGACTGGTTGCATGATACACGAGCGAGTGACTATTTGTGATGTGTCTTTCAGTCTGTCTGAGTGTGCAGTACGTGCTCTATCGACTCATTCATGGACGCATGAAGAGATGAACGTATGTCGTTAGTCATTCAGTCAGTCAGTCAGTCCTCCATGACATGGCTGCTCTGCCTCCTCTTGCCCCTGCCCGGGGGCGCCACTCGTGCTGGATCGACGTAAGGGGTCAGATGGAGGATAAATTCCATGTAGTCGATGCCGTGCTCAGTCGCCAGACGATCGTACTCCCTGACAGGCAAGGCAGCCATCAAACAGACAGACAGACGTGAGTGAGTTCAGAGGAAGGGCGGCTTCTGTGTCTGGTAAGTACATGGTGGCCACGTTCTCTTTGATGCCAAACTGCCTGCACACCTGCACCATTTCGTCACGCGTCAACAGACCTGCACTCATCAATCCATTAGCCACACACACGTCTAGACAAGGGGGAGCCTAAGAGCCAGCGAGCCCTCCCTCTTTTTTCAGACAGTCACTGACCTTCATATTTTTTTGCGTGTGCCTTGAATGCCTCCTTGACTGCACACCAGAATCGCGGCTCGAAGACGGCTGCTGGGTCGACACGTGAGGCCTCCTCCTTGCCCAACAAGAAGGTCCTCCTTCTCTTCGCGTCAAGCTGATAGATGGAACAGGTAAGGACAAAGAGACCAGGCTATCTCAACCAGTGCTTTCTTTGCGTTTGTGTGCCTGTGTTGGTTGAATGTAGGGGCCTGGAGGTGAAATGAGAACAGAGGGAAGGTCTGGCCGCACGACTTCATCGCTTGTCTTCCCTACCGAACATGGTCATGAATTCGACATAATCGATGGTGCCGCTCCTGTCGTCGTCCATGGCATCAAAGAGAATGTCAGCGGCTGACTCGGGCAAGCTGAAGAAGCGAAAGAAGGCCCGCCCCTCGTCCTGGCTGAGCATCCCATCCTGCGAGCGGACAACAAAAAGACAAGAGTCAAGACACCGCGAGTAAATCACACCATCCTTTCTTACATGGTCCTTGTCGACAGTACGAAACATCTCCCTGCAAGACAAGGGTGGTGGATGGAGTGCCATCCTTCTCCCTCTCCCCCCCCCCCTCTGCGAGTGTGTGTGCGTGTGTGTGTGTGTTTTTCTTTTGGCAAAGCACCTGACGGTCTTCCAGTGGCTCATGGATGTGCCTTTAAGGATGTCACCAATCTGAGCAAAGGTTTGAATCAGCTCATCGTCCTGCATGAAAAGACAATCAAGACAACTCACACCCTGTTGCTTCCTTTCTTCGGTTTTCTCACCCGCGACCTCGCTGCTCGACACATTTGTCGATAATGGATGGCTGGATAGTGTGTCTTCTCGATGACACGTGGTCTTTTGTGAGGCAACCGGTGCTTTGCAATGCTGCCAATGCAGCCAGTGCGTCGCCAGGATGTATCAGAGGCTGCAGCTGCGCATGAAGTGTCCGGGCTAGGGCTGCTGGACAGCGAGAGCCGCTGGCGAGCCGTCAAAGCAGACGCCATCGCTAAGCACCGTTGCGGCGAGAGAGAGACGGGGCTTAAGAAAACAGATCACGTTGCAAATGGTGCGCGCGCAGTCGATCTCTCGTGTCTGTCTCCTTCTGCGGAACCGAAACCCGACGGCCATTCAGTTCTGCTCGCCCGGCTGGCAAGGTCAGCACCACACCCGCTCGTTACCCGTGTGTGTGAGATGGGCGTATTATCCGGGGGCAAATTGATAGTGAATCCAAGCAAATCTCCCTCACGAATACGAGACGGGCATCAAAACACCCCGTGAAGCAACGACTCGCCATGTATCAACAAATTGACGGTCACCCTGCATGCAACGAACACCGCATCACACTCAGTCCGACCGACTGCCTCTCTCTTTGGTCCCCCCTCCCCCAGCCCCACTACATCTCACTGCATCTTTGGGCTCGAGAAAGGGCAGAATGGCCCTCTCTGCTCATCGCTCGCCAGCAGCCTTATTGGGTCCCTGTTGATGAAGCAGTTGACGGCATACTTGACGGAGGATGTCGGGGGCAGTCCCTGGTGCATCATGCGGTAGTCGGCCGAGCCGTCAGGGTTGATATTCGACCACACTAACGCCATGCCTTTTGAGACACATCCACACATCCATCCATCCATTCATCCATCCATCGTCGCTGTGCAGCGGTATGTATGAACCTTTCTGTGGTTTGATAGCGAGTGGTTTGGGTAGGTCTGGGAAGTCTGTCTGGCCACCCTCATCCACATCTGCACACACGCACACACACAGGGATCAGACAGGGAAGGAAAGACAGAGAGACACGCAATGTTGAACCAGGCAGTTACCATTGAGATAGAGAAGGACCGTCTGTGGTCGAAAGTCTCTGAGAGCCCGCCCACCAATGACACCAATGACAGACAGGCAGCAAAACGAATGCGGTCTCCGCGCTCTGCATGCACAGTCCCTTCTGGCAATCTCTTCTCACCCGTCATGATGCATAGCAAAGAACTCCCCCGGTTCATACTTGACAACCACCAACTGCTCCACGTAAGCAAGAGGCACACACGCTATCTGCACCGGCAAACACACCCAACACACAGAGACGCGCAAGCAGCCTCTGCATCGATTCACTGATCCAGCTGTTCGTGTGCGTGTCTGTCTGTCTGACATACCTTTGCGACTTTCTCCTCAATAATGCTGAGCGTGCGTGTCTCGCCACTCATCAGGCGAGCTGACAGCGACGTCCTGTTTACCGACCGGCCACTCTCATACGATTGCTGCAATATCCACATACACACACAGAGAGAAGAGAGAGAGAGAGAGAGAGAGAGAGAGACCACAATGGGATGCGGCTGGCTGCATGTGTTGCAGACAGGCATGAAGGCCTCACTTGTTGGGCTCCTTCTTTACCCAGAGACGTCAGAGAGGTCAGAAACCGCCCCGCCGACAGCCGAATCAGATGCTCGCACTCACAATCAGAGAGAAACGAAGGATACGCCCACATGTCGGGGTCCCTGTGCACCAGAGTCCCCTTGAGACGCACTACAATGCTCCCCCTGTTGGCCCCGTCCTCCTGCTTGGCGGCATGACTTGGAAGCGCTTGCAGGGGGGCGATTTGAATGGGGCTCTCAGCGAGAGGGATTGGCTCATCGCCGTGGTGGGCCCCGGTCATCCAGGTGGGCCTGGATAGAGCCGGGAGCCTCCTTCTATCCATGAAAGACTTCGAATCTTGCGAGCTGAAAAAGCAGCTCGCATCCGCTCAAAAGGGGAGATCTTTGTGCCATGGCAGATGGGGCGAGGAGAAGATCCCTGAGGATCTGGCGTTTTTTGAGGTTCCGCAGGGGACTCAAAGCCACAGCTCATGCTGATCACGAATCTGCCGACCATTTGGAGAGCAAGGCGTCGACGGACACGCTGATCCATGCAAACAGCTGGACCAGCACACTGCCGCCGAGGCAGGTCTTCTTCCACCCGAAACGATTCTTCATCGAATGGTAACGACACACGCACTCACCCAGGAGTCACCCTCACAGCCTGGTCACGGCTTCCTTCTTTCCTCGTGTGTGTTCTGTTGTCTGCAGGTGGGCGCACATCGCCTTCTTTGTTGCCGGCCCTTTCGCATACCCCATTCTCAGGCTTCTCTACGGCTCATCCATGTGCGTCTGCCTGCGCGGCCTTCCTCTTTTGCCCACAGCCCCTGTCTGTGTTGTTGTGTGCGTTGGTTGCTGCAGGTACGCCCTCGTCAACAGGGCTTTCTCCATCCCGATACGGTGCCGCAGACGACGCAAGAAGCACAATCACGGCCTCCCGGAGGGCGAGCTGTCGCCGCCATACTTCCCGTCAGAATGCCCCTCGCGCGACGAGCAGGAGCATGACGAACACGGCATCGGTGCTGCCACGCCAGTGCAGAAGGGATCGTGTGCGACGAACAGCACGGCCAAGAAGTGGCAGAGCAACAAGACGGTGCAGTGGGTGGCCTTGCTCAACCAGGGCCTGCAGTGGGCGCTGCACATGGGGTCCATCCTCTTGTATTTCATTTTTCGCCCGCCCGAAGTGACCTTTATTGAGATGTGAGTGAGTGCAGCAGCGCAGCAGGGGAGGGAGGAGGGACGAAGACAGGGCTGCCTGGATGTGTGGATGTGTCGATGTGTGTGTGTGTGCAGCCTGTACATGCACCTGAGCGTGCAGATCCGATCACTTGTGGTGAGTGAGAAGGAATAGAGAAGATCCATCTCACGCGTGATACACACATGTAGAACCACACAATGGCTTTCCCTCCCTCGATGCTATGCTATGTCTTGCGCAGATCGCCACCAAGTACGCCTACCTGACAGGTGGGGTGGGTGGGCGGGCGAGAGTGACGTGGCATGCAGAGACCGTCAGTCATTTCTGTGCACATGCCCGTGTGTCTTGTTTTGCAGATGAGGAGTACGAGGCGATGAACGACCGGCCCGTCTGTCAGCACTGGTTCCAAAACGAAATGATCCTTCTGGGGTCAGCAAGGAAAGGCGGCGGCGCATTGCATTCAGTGATATGACAACCAACCCTGTGTGTGTGTGTGTGTGTGTTTACGCTATGCCAGGTGGGTGAATGTGCCGGAGGAAGTGGCTCTTCGCCAGATCGATGCATCCATCGAGCGCATGCGCTTCCCAACGCACATTGAGTTCAAATTCATAACTGACCAACAGGCCAAGGTAAGGTAGCCATCGGACCAAGGTGACCACCCTTCGCCATGCACCTCTCCCCTGCTTCTCTGCAGGCGGAGAGCCTACGCCGCGAGCCATCCTTCAACCCGGCGAGGGGCATCATCGACATCAGCCAGCCGCAGACCGTCCCCCTGCAACAGCACTCCTCCCCGGTCCCACCCACCCGCCACACATCATCCACCATCCCCGCCGTCGGCAGGGCCTCTTGTTTTCTAGGCCTCATGCTCCCAGACAGTAGCAGTGGCTTGCCGGGCAAGAGACGCTCGTGGCGGGAATGGTGGCGCGCCGCCACCACTGGGCTGCCACACGTGTCGAGCAAAACCGAGATGGCGTCTACGGTGACGAGCATTCTTACCCGAGATCAGCGTGAGTACCTCAATTACCTCTCCTCGGCCGACACGGCCTCATTCTACCGCCCGATGCCGCCGTGCATGTATGCAGCGCCCATGCTGCCCCCTCCCTCTTCACCTCCCACCGCCCCGGCCCCCGTAGCCCACAACAACTCTTCCCCCTCTCCGGCGTCACCCCAGGCTGCCAATGATGACAGCAGCTCGCCCGACGGTCGGCTGGCGGCCATTCACGAGGAGAGAGTCACGTCCAACACATCAACGGCCGAGGGGCCGCCCTACTCGAGCACCAACAGCGCGTCCAAGAGCTCGAGCAAGGCGTCTGATGGGGCGGGCAAGAGAGAGAGTGAAGATGAGGGGGATGTGTCGGAGGGAGCGTGTCAAACGGTGCCCATCCTCACCCTCGTGCACCTCTTTATTGCGCAAGTGATCGAGGGCAAGATTGGCCGGCAGTCAGTGCTGCTGCTTTTTCTGACCGCTGCATTCCTCTGCCTGATGCCCTCCTTCGTCAGGCTGGGCTTTGGCTATGGTCAGCCGACACAACACAAACCACACAGAGACTGCGGGGGGCACATGAATGAATGTGATGACTGCGGGGCCTTGGTATGCTATGCCGCCTATTTGTTTCTTCAGGTTTGTTCGGTAACAGCGCCATCGCTGTGGTGGGTCGCTAGACAACACGAATCCTGCACTGCACCTGTGCCGTACGTGTCATTCATTCTCCTGTTGCGGTGGGTGCAGGTGATCGTGGTGTTTGCCCTCATGACGAATGTCTTCAATCTGGGACTCAACTACATTTTCATGCTGGCAGCTTACCGGTACACACACACACACACACACACACGCGCGCGCGCGCGAACGACGCAAATGGCGCCCATCCGTCGACGCATGTGTGTGTGTGCCTTCCTTCCCCTCTCTCCCTCCCTCTGTCAGCGAGGCGTCCCGTCGTCTGGCGGTTTTGCGCTACTGTTCGGCGCTGCTGGTGACCAACGAGATGGACCCCCAGCGGCAGCTGCTGCCGCCCAGGATACGAGCCCTGCCGCGGCTGGACCTCACCGACTCGGACAGTGTACTTGGATGGTGGTTTCTGCGGACCCTTGTCGTCGACTGGGGGTGAGCCGACACGAGACAACAAAGCTGCACAACAAAGGGTTGTTATTGTGTGTCATTGGCGTGTGTAGGAGGCGATATCGTCTGCGTATCCGAACTTTTACAGGCATCTACTTCTTTATCCAGGTGATGCTCCTGGCGTGGCTGATCATCGACGTGTACGTGCGGCAAGACCTGGGCCTGACCTCCATGGCGATCGCTCTCAGCAACAACATCGTCCTCTCATTCATACTCGCCAAGCTGACCCTGCTGGGCAAAAAGGTCGACGACATGGCCGACGACCATGCCGCCATGCTCTACCAGCAACAGGTAGGTACACCACTCACCGCCCATCACGCACAGAGAATCTTGACACACAGCGAGGAAAGAGGAGCCCATTCTTGTCTCTGCGTGTGTGTCTGATTGACAGGACCGTGTCATCACCTTGGTAACCACTCGGCTGGAGGACCTCTCTACCGGCCGCGTGCGGGTCAGTGACCAGAAGTCGCTGGTCGGTTTCCGCCGCCCGACCGCTGCGTGGTGGGACACACGGCGCGTCCGGCCGGCCATGCGCATCCGCTACAGCAGCCCGTCGCACCACACCCATCGCAGACACCTCGCCGTGCACAGAGGAGGGGGCAGACATCACCACCACCACCACCAGAAGAAGGGGGCCAGGTCGGATCACGCCAGCTCCGACACACAGATGAGGGAAGCGGCTGCCACTGGAAGTGGAGGTGAGGAGCCGCCGGTCAAGAGCAGGTCTCGCGAGACGGACGTGCTAGGGAGGGGGGTCGGCAAGCAGAAGACGCTCACATGGTCCCCTCACATCTACATCCCGGACTTGCTCACCAAAAGCCTCCCCCAGCCGGACCTCTCGCAAGACGCCAGCAACACCACTGATGACGACCAGCAGCCCATCGACATTGCCATTCCCCCTAACAACCACACACAGCAGCTGGACGACGAACCGGATGAGCACCAGCACCACCAGCAGCAGTCGGAGGTGGCCCGTCTCTCGTCCATTCAGACACACACCGACGACGAGTACGCCAATGCCATCGTCAGGCGGTGCAGCACACGATCGGGGACAGACGCTCGCAGCGAGATGAGTTTTCATCGCGGCAGCTCCAATGGCAGCTCTTTGTCTTTGTGGGGCAGCGTGAGTGCGGTCGGGGGCGGGTGGGCGTTTGGCGAGGGTGGGAGTGTGCAGGACGTGGTGCTGCACCACCTGTATATTGCGCTGGAGCGGATCAAGATACTCTCACAACAGGTGGGGTAGATAGATGGTTGGGGGTCACTGATTACAAAGGCATCCATGGGCGGATGCTGACTGCCCTGTTGCGGTTGGTGCGCTGGTGTGGGGTGGTGCAGATTCGTCAGTCGCGGGATTGTTTTCCCACAACCATCCTGGGGCTCCGGGCAGGTACCTACCTAGCTACACCTGTTTGTTGCACGAGGGACGGGTGCAGGTGCTGCAGGGAGGGATGGTTGCTTGCTTGGGTGGGGTGCTTGCTGTGTGTTTGTCTGCAGGTACGGATTTACTTCGCTTCATTTTGGCGATTCCGTTCGCGGCTCTGTTTGCCATCATCCACCATTTCCAGTCGCAGCCCACACAGCACACGTGATGGATGATTGAGCCGACCATGCCATGTTCATTGCAGTCAGCTGAGACTGTATAATGTGCCGTCTTTTGTAGGTAGAGAGTGGCAGGAGATGTGTGTGGAGCGATGTGTGTGTGAGTGAGTGTGTGTAAGGGTGTGGATGAGAGAGCTGGCCGTTTCTCGCGAAAGGGGTGAATGGCCTTCAGCTCACTCACAGTCATACACACACGGTGATTTGGTACTCTTATGGATGTTGGGCGTGTCCGTGTGCGTGACGCGACTCAGACAGCATTGCATTCATGGCATCCATCGAATCTATGTCTGTCTGCGTCAGTCAGTATCCGGTAGGTATCCAATTAACATGCACACACACACACACACACCTGCACCTGGACGGCTGGCTGGGAGCGTAGTATGGAGGGGCTGTACACGCCGCACATGCAGGCACAAACGTATGCAGTCAGTGTGTTGTGTATGAAGGCATCCATCCATCCAGCCAGCCATCCATTCAGCACACAAAACAAAACCTACAGAGCCAATGTGCGATAAATAACACAAACGGAGTGAGTGGATAAGTGAGTGAGTACGCATGTTAGGGTACGATCCAATGCGATCGTCGCGTCGTCTGTCGGCAGCTAGCTGCCGTGACTGCTTCAGAAGTGCCCCCGTCACGCCTCTTCTCTGCAGCACGCTCTTTGCTCCAGAGAAGGACATGACAGGAGTCCTGCTAAAGTTGCCACGGCAGCAAACAATCACACGGCGTGTACACAAAGATATAAGCAGGCTCTCTCCACCTCATCTCATCTGATCTCATCTTAGCAACCGTGATATGCAACAACACCCCACCCCACCACCCCACCCCTCTCTCTGCCCTGCCCCCATCCATCACTGCCAATACGAGGAGGAGGTCGGCCTGTCCTCCTCCCTCTCAGTGCCGCCCCTGAACCCCCCGAAGCTCTGGGAACTAATGGGCGAACCCTCACCCATTCCCATGCCCATGCCCATCCCCATGCCCATCCCAGCCATCGGCCGCGCAGCGTCGAACTGCCCCCGGTCATACAGCTCTGTCTTTCGTCTGACGGGTTCGGTGACGTACTGCTCGTCTAGGTCCCCGATGCGCTCGTAGGGCGCCAGGGCGTCGATGCGGCCCCACACCGCATCCTTGTCGTCAATCCTGCACACAGGCACGGAGCGAGAGGTGGATTACATGCAAGTGTGTGATTGGGTGTCTGTCTGTGTGGGTGCAGCGGAAGGTACCTGAGTACTGCGGTGAGGTGTACGGCGTAGAATACGATCATGAGGAAGAAGATGAAGAGAATCACGTTGGCGACGAGGGCCACCCAGTACTCGAAATAACACCTGACACACACACACACACACACACAGTGGAGCAGCGTGTTACATGCATATGGCCCTTTCCTTTCTGCCAAGTGAGTGCAGTGCATCGTGTGCTCTCTCCACCTCCCTCCCTCTCCGTCCGTCCCATATTCCGTCCCCACTGACTCACCAGAGCAGCAGCAGGTTGGATGCGAAGAAGCAGAGCAGCCCCGAGAGGAAGAAGGCGAACACGAGCCCCTGCTCAGCCCGCAGGTTCTCCACCGCTATGTGAACGCTCCTGGCGCCGTGCGGCCCCCTCAGTGCCAGCCCAGGTCCCCACATGCAGCAGAAGGTCGTGTTGGTCACCACACACAACTCGAAGCCCATCGCCACGGTGGTCGTGAGGAGGTAGATGCACTCGAGCAGGAAGGGCGTCTCTTCGGGCACGGGGTTGGTGATCTGCCCGAAGGCGAAGCCGGCGAGCAGGGACGCCTGTGAGGACAGCGTCCAGTAGTTGTTGGTGTACCCTGTGGGGCGCACACAACAGACAGACAGACATACCCGACAGACAGACAGACAGACAGGGATCTCCGTAGATTCATTCCCCCCCTTCCGTGATCTCTTTTGGCGTTCGTTCTTACAGTCCAGCTCGAGTTTGCGGATCTCCACCTGCTGCTTTGATACATCCGTCACCACCTGGTTCTTGTACAGCTGCAGCATCCTGGCTCACCGACTCACCCACGCGCCGATGCGACGCAATGGCAGCGACAGCGGTTCACTCCAAGGGCGAAAGGCTTCACTCGCAGGGCGGCCGGCCTCACGACCCAATTAGATCTGGTTCGATGTGGTGCGAGATTATGATGCCGGACAATCCGGCTTGTGTGCTGGTGTCCCATCCTTACACTCCCGTTGCCAACACCACCAGCATTGCAGATCTATGCTGCTTGAAGCAGTTGTGCATACAGTGCAGTGCGCCCATCTTAAGCTGCACTTGCGCGTTGGACAATGTGCTTGAATCAGATCCGATGGTGCTTTGTCCTGTCCAACCACTCCACTAGCTACTATTGTCAACCCACACGCCTCGTGCAAAACGACGAGGGACCTCTCTGCTCTGTGTGAGGGTGACACCGCACTCCCAGACACCAGACAGTAGTTAGTATACACCACACATACTGACAGACAGACATCAGACATCCATTTGGTTCACGTGCCTTGTGAGCGCTGAGTCCTCGCCGTCGGCTACACCATCCCGCCGTCGAGACGAAGCCGACTCGACAACCGATTGCAGCGCCGGCCGGCCAGGGACCACCGCTCACGCTGTCACGGAACGAAGGTGTGAATGAAATGAACGGACCATACACATCAATCACGACAAGCGACCGACCTGGCGTATCTGGCTGGCTTATCCCTCGGTCGTGCGAGTCTGCTCATGCTCCTACATCTCTCGTTCGCCTCATGAAGAACACCGCAGCAGCACCTCCACTGTCGGAGTGCTGCTCTGGTGTGCCCCGCGAATACGAAAGAAGAGATGCAACAGCGACGAGAAACCCGCATTCACGTCAGAGAGTGCACCGCGACACACTTGCTTCAAACGCAACCACGATAAGGCATCCCATCCATCAAGCTAAGCTACCCATCCACCGACCCACCCACCGCACGCGGCCACGCAGAGAAAACATCAGACAGACAGACAGGGGATGTTGGTTGTGTTGCGGCACGGCAGACAGGATGGCGGCCGTGAGACCCACCATCCCATCTATCCATCCACACAGCAAAAGACTTCCCCGCTCACAGACAGCCATCCGCCCAGCAAGCCACGCACACACGATGAGAATGCAACCAACAGGCAGGCAGGCAGGCAGGCAGACAGAGTGGACGCAAGCATGCACTGGGAAGGGATGCAGACACACACACATGCAACGACTGCATGTGTGGCAGCTGCCTCCCTCCCTCCCTGCCTGTCCCCTCTCTGTCTGTCTGCTCTGCTCCGCTGTGGGTGCATCCATCCGTCTAGTCGCCTCTCATGTGGATGGTGGAGCGATCCGGCATCCAATCCAGCTGGCACGAACCTGGAGGGAGGGACGGGGACAAGCACAGCACAGACACACACACACACACACCAGATGAGAGGGGGATCGGTGGAACACTGTGTTGTGTTGTGATGTGTTGTGTTGTTGCGTGACGCACATACCCATCTCGCGGTACTCGTTGAACTCTGTCAGTTGCTCGTCCACGCAGCAGCACTGGGCGCGGAAGTACTGGTAACTGGTGGGACAGAAAACACAGCAGGGCAGACGCACCCACACACAACACAGCACAGCACAACAGACGCTTCAGACTGACTCACAGCAGGTCCCGGTCTGTCTGTCTGTCTGTCTGCAGATGACCTGTCTGTCTGTCCCCTGGCTGGCTGAGTGCACCCACCCACCACCCACTTTGTACCGGCATCTGACGTGGTCATCGCCGAGCTCACGGCAGCAGCGGGCCCAGATCTGGTAGCGCATGAAACACTCGTCCGTGACCTCCGGGTTGAAGAAGCGCGGATCCTGTGACATTGTGTGCACACACAAGCCAGCCACACGACAAACACAACGAGACACCACCTGATGGCACGTGGCGCCGCGGGCAGCTGTCTGCCTGTCAGCCCCTCCCTCCCTCCCCGTCTGCCAAGATCTCCCTCACTTGGCCCCTCTCTCCCCCTGTGTGTGCTGCGCTGCGAGTGGGTGTGGTTCCGTACGGTGGCGTGCGGGTTGTCGGCGGTGAGGGCATCGACGTTGCCGACAGTGCGGCCGGCGATCTTGAAGCCGAACGGGGTGGGCGTCGTCATCGCGAGGGCGACAAAATGTGTTTTCCTGCGTTCAAACCGCTTCAAAGAATTCGCCGGGCAGACCTACAGGGTTTGTTCTATAGGGTTTCGAGAGGAAGACTCATCAATTGGACTGAATTGGACTCCTGGGTTACAGCCACGAGGCTCGTGTTAAACACAATAACCAACCAACCAGACCTGCGTCTGTTGCTGACCACGTATGTATCAACATGCTCGTATGTATGTCAGTCACGTGCGTGCGTCATCAGAATGATGCATCCCATTCGTTCCTCCGTCCTCTGGGTAGTTCTTCTCAGCCACGACCTGCAGCGCCCTCCGCCACATCCCGCGAACACTCCCGTCGCCCTCAACTGCCATGCATGGACACACACACACACACACACATGCATGGAGAAGCAGCAGCCATCCATTCTCCGTCTCGTCCCGCTCCAGTGTCTGTCTGTCTGTTTGTCTGTTTGCCACTCACCAGTGACCCATGGGCAGAAGACCCGGTGCATGGTGGCGAGGTGCAGCTGCTGTGACTCGCCACTCCAACCAGTGGGGTGAAACGTCCCGACGGAAAAGGGACGCGATCGGGCGCTGCCGTGGCCTCGGAGGGCCGCCGCCTCTCGGTCGGGCCGCGGACGGGTTGCGAAACCTGATAGGGAGAACTGCATGACATGCACAGCATGAGCGAAGAGGAGGTGACCAGTGCAGTGCAGTGCTGTGTGTTCTGTGTCAATCGTGTTGTGCTCTGTTGTGCTGTGCTGACCTCTCTGGTGCAGTAGTTGCATGTGAGCATCTGTCGTGTGCGGCCGTCCTCCAGGCGGTCTCCCGCGTAGCGCCAACCCAACACAGCCAGCAACGACAACACCTACAGGCAGACACACACAGCCATCTCTCCCTCCCAACATTTCTCCCTCCCAATATGTCACTTACGTCTATGCCGTCCTGCAGCCCTCCAGCCAAGCGCCTCTCCCCCTCTCCGTCTCGCTCTCCCTGCTCCCCTTTGCATCCCAGCCACTCACCCACGACCCTCTCCACAGCCGTCATGTGACCGCCCCTCCCCCCGCCCCCCTCTTCGGTCCCCACCAGGCCCCACCCCAGTGCATCTTCCTCGGCTCGTTTGCGCTTGCGTGTGTGTGGGTGTGTGAGGTCCTGAAGGGCATCGATGCACTGCTGGTGGACGATGGGGAAGCGGGCCAGGGCGCCGTCGAGGGCCGCGCGGCTGTGTGTGAGTGGTCGGGACGAATCAGGGGGGGGAGGCATGGGTGGGATGAGTGCAGTGGTGTGTGTGTTGGCTGCCTACCGTTGTGTGAAGTCCTGAAAGAGCTGCTCGGCGGTGGTGGCCAGGCCCCTGACATTCATTCATTGACACGGAAACAGCAGCCCGTTAATGGCTGGCCTGGCCCATGTGTCAGCGCTGTGTGCTGCGTGCTGCTTTTTTGTGGCCCACTCACTCACCCACCCTGTTCCGATGGTGGCAAGGGGCACTTTCATGTCGCGCCATGGGCAGCACCAGTGGTGGCCGCGCTCAAGCAGATGCACCAGATGGGCGGAAACGGTCAGGTCGACCGTCTGGGGCAAAAGGCCTTCGCCCAACAAGACTGCCTCTTCCTGAGACCCTGGGTGACATACAGCATCCACAAACACGTGGGCAAGGATTGGCGCGGCGCTTGCGTGTGTGTGCGGCGTGTGCGCGTGTGTGCTTGTGCGCACTGATATGGATCTCATGGCCGCATGTCACACAGCGGATCTGACATTGAACACACTCATATGGCACATCGTCAACTAACCGGCGTGCGTTCATTGTGACTGACCCTGTTGACGGCCACGCACTCGTAGCCGCGCCGCGAACACTCAACCGGACTCAACTGCACACAAGAGCACGGCAGAGCCACACAGATGACACAGATGAATGAATCCAGTGAATGAGTCAGGCATCCCCACCACTGGAGGCTTCTTGCTCCACCTCGACCCAAGATATGTCCTCAGACTGCACCACCGCAACCCAACCAGTGCGTTCCATTCAAAAAAACACCGCGAGATGTGACCTCAGATCACCCCTGCAGGCCATCCAGTGCTCTCTCTCACCGCGTCAGATGGTCTCGCGTTCCCGCTTCGCCAAAGAGTCGCACTGTCGGTGCCTTTGTACACACATCGTCACTGCCATCCTGTTGGCCTACAATTGGACGATTTTCCACCTCCATTTCCCTCTTCTCTGTGCGAGCTCAAGAAGGGGATCGCCTCACAGAGCGAAAGCCGCCATCTGAGGCGAAGGGCCCTCATTGAAACATGCTTGAGCCGTAGAACGTCGATTCATTGCGAGTTTGGGAGTCTGCTTCCGCTTGTGGTCCACATCTATCTATCCATCGCATTAGTTTCAGATCTGATGGCGGCGGCAGCGGCTTTCCCGCCCGGCTCCTTCACGGCCGCGTCAGTCGAGCAGAAGCTGATGGAGCTGTGGCAGACGGCGGACGAGTCGGTTCGCAAAGCCGCCAACACGTACCTCATGTCGTTCCAGGACCACCCCGACGCATGGCTAGTGGCGCAGCAGCTGGCCATCTCCCACTCAGTCGAGGTGCAGTACATCGGGCTGCAGACTCTTTACTGGAAGATCAGGCGCCACTGGAGCCAGGCAGGCGACAAGCAGGCCGACCTCTCCCGCTTCTTGCTGCAGTTCCTGGAGCAGCCTTCCCGCATGCCGCAGAACAAGAGCCGCATTCGTGTGGCCCACGCCCTCTCGGCCATTGTGGTGCGGACGGTCACATCCCAGTGGCCGACGTGCATCCAGCAGCTGCTGCAGATCGGCAGCAGGGATGCCGTGCTGCGGCTGCAGGTGATGCGGGTGTTCGCCAGCCTGCCAGAGGAGCTCGACGCATCCCTCCACACCCACGTGGCCGACAGCGCCGCGGCCCAGGCGCTCAAGGCCCACCTGCGGAGCATCGTCGACTTCGTGGCCTCATCCCTCGAAATGGCGCTGCAGCCGTCCCTCCACCCATCGGCCTTCACCCCCGACATGACGGACGAGCAGCGCACCCAGGTGGTAAGCGGTCTGAAGGACGCGGCCTTCGTCTTCTGCAGTGAGTGGGCCAAGACGCTGAGCGTGCCGCTACTGGAGCACGCCGCCCTCTCGCGGCAGCTGGTCCGTGCTCTGGAGGTGGACCAGGGCGACGAGGGCCTGACGGACGCGGTGCGGATGCTCTTGACCAAGGCCCACAGCTACAGCTGCATGTGGGCCGGCGGACCGACCATCACCTGCCCACAGCTGCTGGAGAAGCCCGGGGAGGGGCCGATTCTCCGTTGCCTGCTGACCCAGCTGCAAGGCCTGGTGCCGCGGCTGCAGCAGCTGTGTGGAGGCGGTGGGGGCGGGGGAGATGGGGGCGGTGGAGGAGGGTATAGAGTGCCGAATGTGAGTGAGATGGACGGCAAGACGGAGCGAGTGCTGTGCGCGTGGGCGAGGGTTTTGGCGATGCTGTGTGAGGGGTACACACAGCTGGTCATGGACGGGGCCCATGAGTACCTCATGGAGGCACTCAGGTGCTTCTACCACATACACCCCAGGGTGGCTGAGGTACGGGACGTGGGATTGATGTATGTCGGCCGGGCGGGCGGGCGGGCGACAGACAGAAGGAAGCAGCATCGACATTGGTGGTGGTGTGTGTGTGTGTGTGTGTATGGGTCCGGTGTGTGTCAGAATTTCGGCGAGATTTGGTCTCAGATGAAGGAGATGAGCCGCGGCAACGTCCTATCCAAAGAGGAGCTAATGCGCTTTCTCACACAGGCACCTACCTGCTCGCACACACCAAGCCACACCACACCACACCACCTTTACCTACTGGATGAATGTCCGTCTGGTTGTGTGTGCAGGTCGGCGTGCCGGCTGTGCAGGCGCTGATCCGCCACTGTCGGCGCGACAACCCCATGTGGGACGGCGCACACGAGGATCACATCGTATGGACCACCGACCGACCAACACACAAATGACTAGGCAGCCAATACTAGAGGCAGCCAATGACCAGACGTGTGTCTGTTGTGTGTGTGGGCGTACGTACGTACAGCTGTACATCGAGGCTGCGCAGGACTGCATTGGCGACATCTACCTCATGTTCGACTCGGTCGAACAATCGCAGGGTGCGCATGTCATGTCAACAAACACTCACCCAACCCACCCACCCACCCACCCTCTGTGTGTGTCACATATGATATATGTGTGTGTCGTGTCACTCAGGTTTGTCGTTCCTCGAGTCAGTGACTCAGGAGTTCGTTCGGACCATCCAGGCCAAGGACGTCCACGGCATGGAGGTCCTCATCTACGTCCAGGACGTCCTCATCGAGTCAAACCCGGTCCTCTCAAACCCCACCGCAGAGTTCTTCAGGGCACTCGCTCAGGTCCCTCCAAGCAGAGACTGCGCCGCTGCCGCGTCAAACCTGCTCCAAAAGGTGAGCAGAGAGCCAGTAGAGAGGGATGGGGAGAGCAGACCGTACACTCATGTGTGTGGTTGTGTTGTGTTGTGTTGTGTTGTGTTGTGTCGTCAGCATGGGCATCTGTTATCGAAGCACGGCGACATAGTGCGTGGCTGCATGGCGTATCTGATGCAGAACCTGCCTGTGCGGCCCGAGTGGGTGGCGCAGACCATGTGCGACATGTGCATGGCGTGCGGCCACCACCTGCTGCCCTCACTCGGCGAGTTCCTGGCGGTCGTGGAGCGGACGGCCACGCAGTACTCGGTCAAGGCAGACACGCTCCTGTTGGCTGCTGTTGTGCACGTAAGTAAGGTGGTTTTCTGGCTGGCTGGCTGGGGGATAGGGGATATGGTCCACCGGGTGTGGTGTGTGGTTCCATGCCTGTGCGCCTCCATTGCAGGTGGTGAAGGCCCTGCCTGCGGGGGAGGTTCCTCAGAGCTTCGCCCGGTGCCTTCAGACTACCACAACTGCCTTCAAGGTCAGTCAGTCACCACCCACCCCACACACGCAGTCACAGCAGCCCATGACATCCACCGCTCCTTGTCTCTCCTTTTCTGTTGATTGATTGACTGATCAGTCATTGGACACCCCTCCGCTGTCTACTCTTGGCGACGACGCGAAGCCCATAGCATTTCGGCACTTCCACCGCACCTGGCGGGCCGTCAAGGCACTCGCTGCCAGGGACAACGACGACTCACCCCAGGTAAACACAGCCACACAGCCACACCACACATCCTCACACAAAGAGGCTGACAGCTGTTTGCGACCTGTTTGCTGGCTGACAGAACCCGGGAAGCGCCAAGGCTGCTGCTGGAGCAGCTCATGCCCGCCAGACAGCGGCAGCGGTGCGGGGGTTCGTGCAGCCTGTCTGGCCGCACTTCGCGCGTGTGTGTCGCGCTGTGCTGGTGCTGCCTGTCCACCACACACACACAGCCACTGTGTCGAAGGCCGGGAGGAAACACGGGAAGGCCGCACAGGTGAGCACAACAAGGAAAACAGAGTGACCACCCAAGCAAGCCGCATCGAAGGGGTCACCTGGGCGTGTGTGTGTGTGTGTGCGTAGAACATGCTGAATTACGAGCTCACGGACGGCAGCCTGATGGACATCGCTCTGCTGGCGGCTGGGGCGGTGTTGGATGCGCTCGGCGAGCAGGGCGCCGATATGTGGAAGGACGTCATCGACCTGTCGGTGTCGGTGATATCACACCACCCATCCCCACCACCCCAACCGCCCCACCCATCCCAGCAGCACCACACCAGCCACCAGATGCCCAACTTCAACGCCCTCAAGCTCATCACAAGCCTTGTCAAGCACTCTGGCGGTTAGGCAGCACACACACACACACACACACACGTCCCTTCAAACATGGGTCTGTGGATATCTGTCTGTCTGTCTGTGTATGTCCTGGCTGGCCTGCAGCGTCGCGAGATGCGTGCATGGCCCTGCTGTCCCCTCGTTTATCGGAGATATTCGCGATAGTCATCCGCTCGGCGCAGCAACAGGGCTCGCTGACCAGCCATAGCCATCCGGCTCTGTTGGCCGCCTACACGCCCGTGTTTGAGCTGCTGGTGGTGGTGGTGACACACGTGGCCTACGACAGCCAATACTCGCTGTACGCGAGCCCCTACTTTCCCATGCTGCTGCAGCTGGCCACACAGGTCAGTCAGTCAGTGAGTGATTGGGGGGCTGGTCGGGTGGCTGGTTGGTGAGGGGAAAGGAATAAAAAGAAACATTGTATGTGTGTGTGTGTGTGTGTCTGTGTGTGTGTGTGTGTGTGTGTCTCTGTGTGTGTGTGTGGATTGCTTAGGCGCTGAGTGGCAGTGACATCGAGCTGCTCAGCTGGGCGATGCAGTTCATCGTCAAGTGTGCCAGCACACAGCAGCAGCAGAACGCCCAGCAGCACTTCGCTGCGGTAGGTACTTATCCCATGCATTGCACACCCTATCACGTCAGTCAGCTCCCTGACATCTCACCCACCTATACCTATGTGTGTGTGGTTGTGTGTGCGCCTGAACATGTCTGTCCATTCCTTCCATGGCATGGAGTGCCTGCAGCATTTCGGCGAGTTGGTGCGCGGGATAGTGACCAACTTCCACAACTGGAGCAGGCCGCTCAGCCCCATCTACTCCAAGCTCTTCTCCGTCATGCTCGAGAAATACAACGAACCATTCGTCCAAGGATGCACTCAGTACTGGCAGGTGAGCTGCGTCAGTCAGTCAGAACCTCCCTCCCCCCACACACACAACACATCCCTCTCTCTCTCTCTCTGTGTGTGTGTGTGTGTGTGTGTGTGTTGGGTGCAGTCTGAGCGTGCCCGTGGTGTCACAGGTCCCCACACCCACCCTCTCCCCACCGCGTCGTCCCGCGACTCGAGGTCAGGAGGGGACCCTCTTCATCGGCGGCTGAGCGACGCGCAGCTGGAGCTGGTGGTGCGGTGCATGCGGCACTTGCGGGGGCCGAAGCTCAAGCTGCTGCTGCAGGACCTTCATGGGATCGCCAACGGTTCGCAGACGGCCGACGCACTCGTCAACTATGAGGTCAGTCAGGTGAGGAAGGACGAGGGCCCGGAGGGTGCAATTGATGCGACTGATGGGGGATGGATGGTGTGTATGTGTGTGGGGGGGTTTGTTGTCAGGCGGAGCTAGCTGCACACAGACCGTCATGAGTCATGACCTACCTACCGTGAGTGGCTCATGCTTGAAGAGGGGGCTGATGTGTGGGTGTGGCTGTTTATGTGTCACTCACAGCGCGTTCATCCGTGTGTCGGCGTGCGTGGCGCTTGTGGCTTGCTTGTGACGCTTTGGCCTGCCTGCCTGCCTGGCCTACATGTGTGTCGTGTGTGTGTCGTTCGTGTGGACGGTGCGCCCGCCCGCATAATTGATGAAGGCTCAATGAATGACACTCCCTCCGAGTGTGTCGGCGTGTGCGCCACGCACTCCTGCACACCAACCAACCGCATTCATAAACTTCGCAAACCCTACGCATAACTAAGTAGGGATGATTAGATGAGTACGTCGGCCGCCTCCCCGCCCCCCTGCAATGGGAAAAAGCCTCCAAATACAAGAAGCTATCAGGGTGGGGGGTTCGCTAACGGCGCATGCGCTTCTGGCGGACGGACAGACACCATTAGCTAAATAGCGGGTGAGATACATACCGGAAGGAAGACCCATGAATTGATGAGCAGACAGACAGACAAATATGCATGGCATCGTGTCTGTCTGTCTGTCCGTCCGTCCGTCCGTCCGTCGAACACTGATCATTCACCATCTATCATCACCACATGGTGCAATGCACCACCCACCCTCTCTGCGAAGGGCTGCCTGCCACGTCACGTGTGTCAAAACCCAACACACAACAAACACACCACACCCAATCCCGCAAGTACACACACGCTGGGTAGGTAGGTAGGTAGGTATGCATTCAACCATCCGTGACTGCAGTGTGTGCAAACATGCGTCGGAAAAGCTCACACACAGCTCGCCACCCCTCACACATCTCGCTTCGCTTCGTTCATCAGGCCACCCACCCCCCCACCCACCCACCCACCTGCCTTCATTCATCCCCTGTCTGTCTGTCTGTCTGTTCGCCTCACTCACTCACTCACCAGTCCCTCCGGTATTCATCACCTGCACACACATAACATACAGGCAGACAGGACGCACGCAGAGCAGACCCATGCAGGCAGTATGACATACGTGCCCATCCATACGGATGGATTGCGTTTCGTTTCGTCCTCACCCACCTGTGTCCCCGATGGCCTTGTACATGTCCCGCGATTTGGCCAGCACCTCATCTATCCTAGCCCTGTCTTCATCGTCCAGCCTCAGGTGAAACGACCTCAAGTTATCCTGCACGTGGTTGGCCACACCCAGACGAGTGCCCACAATCACGCCGCCCACAGCCGGCCTGTCCAAGACGTATTTGACGGCGACGTTGGGGATCTTGACTGAGTGCTTGTCGGCCACGTCCTTGAGCGCCACCAACAGCTCCTGCAGCAGACCCCAGCCGCCTGCACTCATCCATCAGCACACACCCACAACAGACAGACAGACAGACAGAGAGTGAGAGCTGTAGGTTCCGGTGCCATCCATTATCGTCTCTGTGTGACTCGCCTCGCGTACCCCAGGTGTCGACCATCCGTTTGTATTTCTGCAGCGAGGCCGTGTCGAGCTGCAGCGGCGACGGCTCCTTCTTGCCAAGCCACCTCTCCGTCAAGAACCCCCCCGCCAGCGTCCCATAGGTCAGCAGCTGCACCCCGCTCTCGAGGCAGAATGGCACGAGAGCCACCTCAGGCCGCCTGTCGATGAGGCTGTACTGCACCTGGTTGCTCACGATACCCATGCTCTCGTACGCCTCGCGCGTCCGCTGCGTGTCAAAGTTGGTCACCGCTAGGTTTTTTATCTTGCCCTTGTCCTTGAGAGCAGCCAGATTGTTAAATGCGTCCTGATAGCGCTTGTCTGGATAGACCCACCTGGTGCAGATGAAACAACAAAAAGAGACATGCATGACCATTCCATCAATCAATCAATCACGGGCGTCTGAATGGAATGGCACGATGGAACGGTCTTTGCACCAATGGAACTGCAGCAGGTCGAGCTGGTCGACAGACATCCGAGAGCGCGACTTGTCGATGGCATTCTCGACGGCGGTTCTGCCCATGTCCTGGGGAAGCGGCACAAACTTGGTGAAGCCGACAATGCGGGAAGGGTCGGCGCCACGCTCTCTCTCGTCCGCCAGATGGGCGGCGTAAATCCGCTCTGCTGGCCCATAGATATCAGCCATGTCCCAGCAGCTCAGCCCGACGTCCTCATACTCCCGCATATCCGCCACCGCACTCTTGGGATCGATGCGGCCGTGGGCACCAGACACCTGCCACAGGCCGTTGACGATGCGCGGCACACGCAGAGAGCCCAGTGTGGAGTACTGATCTGAGGGGATTGACAAAGGGCGGCTGCCAGCACTGGCCGCATCTTGGGCTAACGTAGCAGCAGCAGCAGCATCTGCACTGACGCGTGGGGTGTTGAAGCCTCCAAGAGCTGATGCGGCCACGCCAGCTGTCGCAGCAGCAGCAGCAGATGCAATGGCCTCTCGCCGGTCGAGGTGCCTTGGGCCGTCGGCAGACATTCGGAAACGGGTCAATGTCAATCGGTGACCATTGAAAGCATGTATGCAGGGGACGAAGAATAGGGCAGCACAGACGAGGGTAGCCACCTGCATCTTGTGCGCTGATGGCCTAGTGCGCCGCTCGGACGAGGTTGTCATAAGGGGATGGCGGGAAGATGCGCTTGCGCGTCGACGGTGCTCCGTTGTAAGGATGGGTGCTTCGGCCTACCATTGCCTTGCCACTGGCGTTATCACCTTCAGCGGAAGCGAAGCCGGGCTTAGCTCGCAATCGGAATGCGCCTCGGCTTTTGGATGATGGAGGGCGTGGACTGACTGTAGACTGGCACTGGTCTTTAGCGCGCCAGAATGCACAAATCTTGTGTGCTTCTGGGTTCAGCGGTGCCTCACCCGCATTACGGCGCCTATGGCAGCACGCTTCAGAAGATCTTCAGCTTCGCAGCCTTCAACCGCCTCATTGCCTTCTCCCTGGGCTGGGGCTTCACGTTCGCCTTCTGGGCGCCGGACGAGAGCAAAATCTATGACGTGTTCCCGGTGTTCAAGCAGAAGCACTACGCCTACCTGGTGGCCTACAAGGTGCCGCGAGAGGAATTTGGCACATTCGAGTTCCACTGGAGGAGCTTGGCGCGCTTCTGCCAGATGCAGGAAGGTGTGTTCCACGAGTGTCAGGCAGGCAGGCAGGCATCAGGCATCAGGCAGCTCAAGAAAAGAGAGACGGATTCATTCATGCCCGCGCATGACCGGCCTGTCGCTGTCGTGTGTGTGTTGTATGCTATGTGCGTCAGGGTACCTGTACACGCGGCTGCTCAAGGCGCGCAAGTACGACAAGGCGGATGCCCACTACATCTCGCTGACGACATGGGTGACGGAGCGGAGCCACAGCAAGGCCATGGCCAAAACTAAGGGCCTCGAGCTGCAGGGCAAGCTGCCCACCGGGGACCGGTTCAAGTCCCAACTCTACAAGATTGTCGTTGACGACTCCGAGTACTCACCGGTCCCTGACTATTCTCCCACAGCGGGACCAACACCAGGACGGGTGGCATAAATAACAGTGTGCAGCGCAGCCTGCCCGAGGAGGGAGGGAGGGAGGGAGGGAGGAGGGACCTGCACAGCATCTTTCTTCCCCTCTCTCCCTTCAATCTTCATCGTGCTGTTGGTGGTTCTTCTGTTGATGTACTCTCTCTCTCTCTCCCTGGCTGGGTGTATGGTATGGCTGGTTTTGTCTGTCTGGTTGCCTGGCTCGATTCGCGTGTGTGTCTACCCATGGTGGGCCTCTGACGTTGACTGACATCAACTGACTGAGGGTATGCACGGCGATTCAAATGACATGGATGCACGTCTGTCTGTCCCTCCGTCCGTCCGTCCGTCGCCCACTCACTCACCATACCATCAACCGATAGATAGATAATACGAGGGGGGGAAGCAGACATTGAATTCATAACTGTACACACAGTAGACGCAGACAGTCACCCTTTATCCATGCATCCACTGTCCACCCTGTCAGCGTTAGTCAGCCATTGTCTGCCCACGTCGAGCACCAACCGGTGTGTCGGCCCCCCGCCCCAGTAGCAAGGAAGCACAACAAATCGAATCGATGAGTGCGGGAAAAACACCTTCGGTGCGACACAGCCGTGTGTTTCATTCTGAGCGGAAGCAGGCAGCCTCCCTACTTGCTCTCCTTCACTGCAGGCCATACTGTCTCGCTCCCGTGGCTAGCTGACCTGTACTAAAGCCACTGCACATGTGTATTCGAGTTGATGAGAAGGCCGGCGCCCATTATGGTGAAGTCTGCGAGGGGCAGATCAGCTGCTTCGACACTCGACTTCGAGCGTCTGAGCACCTGGCCTGGCCCACACAGACGTCACCATATGGACGTCAAGCAGAGAAAGGAGGAAAGGAACGGCAACTTTCGACAAAAACTCAATGCGGTGTCGTGTGGCTGCCTGGCTGGAAGGAAGGAACACGAAAATCACCCTTCCTCCTCAATGTCTGCCTTGCCTCTATCTATCTATCTGTCTGCCTGCCTCAATCAATACGATAGAGTGAAGAAATGACGACGTCCTTACGCAGGTGCACATACAGTATGTGTGTATACACAGCAAAGGGACGTCTGGCGGAAGGAACGAAGACAGAATTGTACGCATGTCGCCCCGGTGGAAGGCATGCAGCCAGAGACCTTCACTCATCTCATTCATCCCACCATGGATGGATGGCATGGATGCTTTGCTTAGATAGATACCCAAGAAGAACAATTCAATTCACTCGATCGGGCGATGACAAATACGGACCCCCCCGCCCCCCCACACGGACAACCACCTCACGGAGTCAGTGAAAGCCACGCATGTACCTACCTTACAGAGACATAGACATACCGATGCATTAGATAGATATTATGTATATCGATGCCACACAGACACAATGAATGAAAGTGTCCATCCGTGCTTCCGTACTCCCTAAAGGCTCAGACAGAGGGCCTCCCGGCCCGGCCTCTGACGTGCTCGAACGCTGCATGGCATGGCATGCCATGGGTGGATAAGCTATGCCGAGAATCGGACCCAGCAAACAAGAACGAACCTCAATCAGTCAGACCCTCTCTCCTCTCAGCTATGTACACACACTCGACGTGATCCCTCGTGAGCGCTAGGCAACTGCAGGCACCAAATAAGGCCTGCCTGAGCCACGCACGGAAGACTGACACCACACACAGAAAGACAGATACACACACAGACAGAACACGCCCGGCCCGCCTCTCGGCGATCCGCAAAAAGGCGGCCGCGCACGTGGCGCGAAATGGACCGCAGGCAGGCAGGCAGGCAGGAATGCTTGCTGCTGCTGTACTGTCGAGCGGTGTGGTCGTGCTCTCTGTCTCTCTCACACTTGCTCATGGATATGTATGTTTGTATGGATGTGCAGTGCATTGCATTTTATGTACAGACCAACCACCAGAAGGCACAGCACAAGGGGGGTGGGGTGGTCGGATGGCTAGCTAGCTCTGCATGGGCATGGCCATGCAGCCGGCCGGAAAGAAGGACGGACGAAGGGGAGAAGGAAACACTTGGCAGGTGTGTGTGGCTCCCTCCCTCCCGCACACACACGTGCCACTCTCGGTCTACACCATACATATCATTGTTGTGTGGCTCAACAGGGGAGCCAAAAGACACTCCGTCACCATCACTCACAGGCATCCAGGCAATATCACGTGACGTGACCCCTCCCTCCCTCCCTGCCTGCCTCTCTGATCTCAGGCCATCTCATTGCAAATACAATGAATGTCTGCCATCCATCCATCCAGCCATCCAGCGATGCAGCCAGCCCCTTACAGCCACTCAGTCACCTCTCTCTCTCGCTCGCTCGCTCGCTCGCATGCTTGCTTCCTTGCTGCACTGCATCTCTTGAAAAGGCCGGCAGCAGCGCACACACAACACCAGCACC